TGAGAATGCGGGAAGGCACTCTGTCTCGTTCAGCCTCAGGCAAATGCGAATTGAAACTCCCATGAAACACTACTACACACCAGAGTGACCGACCTTGCGGAATGTGGACAAGGATGTAGACCAATCAGACCTTCGAACCCAGCTGGTGGGATTGTCTCCACCCACTTTCAAAAATGCGGGTCGGCAGGATCTCCTCAAGCTAACCATGCACCTGCTGTAAGGCCCAGCAAATCCACCTCTCAATAAATACCCCACAAACATAAGAGCTTCTGGCCACCAGATGACACATACCAAAGTGTTCACAAAGTTTTAGTCATGATAGCTAGACACTGGAAACAACCCAAATGTCTGTGCACGGTAGAAGGGCTAAATGGTGGGGTAGACACACAATGGAATTCTGCTCCACAACCAAAGAGAACCAACTGTTGCCACATATGACAGGAACAAATCTCACATATATTGCTGAGCAAGAGAAATCAGGTGCAAAAAAGAAAAAAAAAAGCACATATTGTATGGTTCCATTTTTATGAAGTTCAAGGATAGGCAAAATTAATCTAAGGTGATAGAAATGAGAACCGTGGTTTCCTTTTGGGGGCAAGTGGGTGGCATTGAGATAGCCTGATAGGAGGATGGAATGTTCTCTTATCTGTAGCCAGGTGGCAGGTTATTCAGGTAGGGACATAGCTAAAAACTCATCAGTCTGGACGTTTAAGGTGTGTGCACTTTCTTATATATTAGCTCTATATCAGTAAACACATAAGTAAAAAGGAAAAAATACATGAGTCTTCGAAAATGGGATAATCTACTACCAAATGGGAATCACTTAGCTGTACCCGCTGTATGGTGTGGAGGTCAGATTTCAAAAGGACTCATTAAAATAGAGGAATGATAAATACAATGTGGTCCATCTATATAAGTGGATATTATTCAGCCATAAGGGGGAATGAGAAACGGATGAATCTTGGAAAACATGATGCTGAGTGAAACAAACCAGACACCAAAGACCCACATACTATATGATTCCATTTACATGAAATGTCCAGAACAGGCAAATCCATGGAGACGGGAAGTAGATTAGGGGTTACCAGGGGCTACCAGGAGGGAGGAATGGGGAGTGACTCTTACAGACATGGGGTTTCTTTTCGGAGTGATGAAAATGTTCTGGAGTTAGATGGTGGTTGTACTTGGGCATCTTTGTCAATGTACTAAAACCCACTGCACTGTAAAGGGTGAATTTGACAGTATGGGAATTACCTTTCCAAGGGGGGGAAAAAAAAAAGACAGAGGCAAGGAGCTTCAGAAATCTCAGGACCTGGCAAGGAGCAGGTGCACCTGGGTCATGAGCCCGCTTCACGGGCATGTGGCCTGCGCGGCCGGCAGGGGGCCCTGTGCTCAGCTCAACACTGCTGTCGCCACCTTGAAATTCCTCATTTTTAACAACGGCCTGCGCCTTCATTTTGCACTGGGCCAGGTGAGTTAAGTGGCTTGTCCTGGGTGTTAGGAAGACTTCAACCGGAGGTCCGGAGGCGGGTGCCTGTCCTGATGGGGGAGAGACACAAGGACTCTGTCTGGGCCGAAGCACTTGGATCCTTGGATGTTGACTCCAGTGGTGGCCTTTCCACACCTGGGGCAGCCAAGAACCTGCAGAAGGAGGAACCAGAGTTGCTTTGGTCTCTGTGCCACCACAGGGGCACAGCTGGACTCTGCTCGGAATGGGGGAAAAGAAGGAGCTCCACCGTGGAGGGAGGGGGTGGCAGGGAGTCACCCCCAAACCTGGGGCTCCCATCGTGGAACATCCCTGCCTCTGTCGGGATGCTACAGAGGGGGTTCCAGCAGCAGCAAGCCAGGAAACCCCTGGCTGAACCCCGAGTCCCTCCAACTGCAGGATCTATGAAGACAGAAATACTGAAGGGCCAAGGTGGAGGTGTTAATTCCTTCTAGTGAGTTTCAAGTCAGCAACAAAACATTGAGGGGGCTCCCCAGGGCCTCAGTGGCTCCAAGCAACTCCTTTACGATGAGTGTCTCCTTCTTGGGTAATGCTGTTGATGCTAATAAGGGTAAGGTACCAGGATCCAGAAGAAGGGATGGCCCCCCCAAAGCACCCCAACCGTCTGCTGTTTCTCAAGGGCAAGGACAGGGTCTGGCATGCGGCTCCTGGCTTGCCTACTTGGGAGCTTAAGGAGCAGACATACGGAAGACTGTTCTTTTTGTTTCAGGTTTTAATTAAATTACACAATCTCTCTTGTATCCACCCATTCTCTTCTGCACTTTACTTGCTTCTGCTGATCCATGAGGATTTTAATTACAAGCTTAAGATGGAAAATGAAAACACATACAAATAAAATTATTTAACAACTAAAGATGCTGACTATTCTTTTCCAAGCTTCAGAAATACCAGGTAGCATTTCTTGGGTGCTCAGTATTTGCTGGGCCCTGTTCTGAGAAGTCACCATGGCTTGTTTAACCTGCACCACCTTATCAGGGCGGACCCTCTAATTATCCCCCTTTCACAGAAGGGGAGACTGAGGCCAGGGGACTAGGCAGGATTGGTAGTAGGCAGGCAACCCAGGCTTCCAAGGCCACACTTTAATCTCCACATCTTGTTGCCTCTTTTTAATAAACTTTAGTGCTTTTCTAATTTTCATCAACGAAGTTGGAAGATCATTTCCTGCTGTTGGGGTCTTCAGCTTAAGGTCATGGCCCTCGCTCAGGGGCAGGTGCATTCACCTGGCTCTACATCGTCACTCCCCGCCCACAGCAGGACCAAGTAGGTTGGCGTTCCTGGTCCCACGGACCCTGCCAGAGGTTTGGAAAGCCTGGGATCTACAATCCTGCTTCCAGCTTACGGGTCACAAAAGCAGTCCCTGCTCAGTCCCATTTTCCTGTCTGTTTCTATTTACTGCATCCTCGCAGAGAAGAACGGCCAGAGCACCCGCCTCTTTCACTTAGGCATCTCAGGTTCCCATGAGACCTGGGCCCGGCCTGGCTGAGGGGTGCACTGGGCCACCTCTCCGCGAAGGGCTTGCTGCAGCTCTGAGGGGGTGCTCCTGCTGGAAGTCCAGGAGGCTATGCACCCCACGCCAACTCTCCCTCTGCCCACCTGCGGAATGGCTACTCAAGCCTGCAAATTCTGCAGACTCTAATTTACCAGTCTTTTTTTTTTTTTTTAAAGATTTTATTGATTTATTTGACACACACAGAGAGAGAGCACAGGCAGGGGGAGTGGCAGGCAGAGAGAGAGGGAGAGGCAGACTCTCACTGAGCAGGGAGCCCGATGCAGGACTTGAACCCAGGACCCCAGGATCATGACCTGAGCCGAAGGCAGATGCTTCACCGACTGAGCCCTCCAGGCGCTCCTCTAATTTGCCGGTCTTCAGAGACCAGACCTAAGAGAAAGGAGCGTAAGGTCCACCAAAAGACAGACAAGAATGTCCATGGCCTCCTAACTGGCGATGATCCATGAGGATGAAGCAGATCAGCCGATAAGGATGAAGAGGATCCAGAGGAAGCAGATCCAAAGGCCCGCCTGAGCCACGAGGGCTCCATTGTTCTCCACGAGGCTCAGACATGTCCACGCGGGGCACCGTGAGGGCCGGCTAAAGGAAGCCTTGGCTCCGGGTTTTGTCATCTCTTCCTGCCGATGGAAAAATAAGAGCTAGCAGGAAAGGAAACTGAACAAAGAGCCAGAGAAAAAAATCAGAGGTTCCCTGGGGAGAAGTGACGCTGGCCCGGGAGCTCATTGTGGGGGGGAGGGGGCAGCACCTGTGCCATTGTCAGGGGGATCGGCACCTGTGCGAGAACAAGCTGCTGCCCGGGAATCTGCCTCCAGCCCTAGGAGAGCCCCGTGCCCTCCACCACCAAACCAGGGCCCAGCCTCCACATCTGACTCTCAGGACCTCAAAAGGGACCTAAAGCTGGGTTTTAAAAAACTCGACTTTTTCCATATGCATTTTTTAAAAAGATTTTATTTATTTATTTGACAGAGACAGTGAGAGAGGGAACACAAGCAGGGGGAGTGGCAGAGGGAGAAGCAGGCTTCCCGCGGAGCAGGGAGCCCGATGCGGGGCTCGATCCCAGGACCCTGGGATCATGACCTGAGCCGAAGGCAGACGCTTAACCGACTGAGCCAGCCAGGCACCCCTTTTCATATGCATTTAAAACAGAACTCCTGTTAAAAAGCAAGTGTTAACTCTGGGGAACCATGTGTATTAACATTCTTGGCCGAGAAAAAGCTTCTCAGGTGAATTAGGCACCGTCCAGGGACGGGCGCAAAGCTGGGTTTGCAACTCGGGTCAAAGATGGGTAGACAAGGATCCCGAAAGATTTCTGCCATGAAACAACATGTGAGAGGTGCTCAGGGGCCTCAAGCATACAGACGCCTAGCCCTGATGCCACAGAGTTGGGAGGCATTGCTCAGATCTGAATGAGGGACCTCTGAAAGCCTTGCAAAGGCAAGCTCCACAGAGAGACTGTGCAGAAGCCCAGATCACTCTGCTCCTCGTGCCAGCTGTGTATGGTTGACCTTGAGCAGGTCCCCCATCCCCGGGGAGTCCCCATCTCCTCATCCGCCAGGTGGGATAACGACCTCCTTGTTGGGGTCGGCGTGAGACCGTTGAGTGGTTCAGGCAGGGCCTAGAGCGTGAGAAGTGCTCAGCCAATACGAGGAACCACAGTGCTGCCATGATTTCCGCCCTCTCGTTCACATGCCACACACGTACCACACGTATCTGCATGTGGCGCTCTGCAGCGGCCTCCTACCTGACATTCCTGCTCCTACTCACACAGGAACAAGGATGGCCTATTAAACACAGAAAGCCCCTGCTCCCTCTCTGTCTCTGTCTCTGTCTGTCTCTCTCTCTCCTTAAGACCTTTTTTTTTTTTAAAGATTTTATTTATTTATTTGAGAGAGAGAGAATGAGAGATAGAGAGCACGAGAGGGAAGAGGGTCAGAGGGAGAAGCAGGCTCCCTGCCGAGCAGGGAGCCCAATGCGGGACTCGATCCCGGGACTCCAGGATCATGACCTGAGCCGAAGGCAGTCGCTTAACCAACTGAGCCACCCAGGCGCCCTCTCCTTAAGACCTTTTAAAAACTTCCCATTGTATTGAGAATAAAGTCCAAACTCCTTATGCTGGCCTCAAAAGCTCTGCACCTCTCTCTCACTGCATCTTGGCCCCTTTTCCCTGACTAACTCTGTTTCAGCCATCCAGGCCTTCTGTCAGTTCCAGAAACACAAGTTCTCTCCAGCCTCAGGACCTTGTCTGTTTTTTCTCCACTCCCTTTGCTGTGTGGAAAGCTCCAGCTTACCCTTCAGGCCTCAGCCTAAGCGGCGGCCCTTCACCACACGTTCCCAGGCCATCCCTCCAGGAACAGGTTCCTTCTGCGCATCCTCATCTATCCCAGCTCATTACTCCCTTCAAAGCACCTGTATCATCCAGCTATGGCTGTGTCACAAGCCACCTCTAAACTCCATGGCTTCAAAGCAGACTCCTGCGGGTTGGCTGGGGTTCAACCGCAAGGCTGGGCTCAGCTGGACAGCTGTGCTCCTCCTGGGAGGGCTGTGAATCAGCTGGGGGCGGCTCCGCTCCACGTGTCTCTCATCCTCCTACTGGGACTAGACACGGCACATTTTCTGGTGGCTGGGGCAGAGGGACAACAGAGCAAGCAGAAAGGTGGGACATCTCTTTAGACCTCAACTCAACTCAGACACACTGTCACTTCTACCCACATTCCATGGGGCAAAGAAAGTCTTGTGATTAATCCCAATGTCAAGGAGTGAAGTGTCCTCCACCCATAAGGAGGCCAGGCAGGCACGCAGATGCAGGGAGGGAAGAGAAATCAAGGCAGTCATTCGACTGCCACCATCTGCGATTTGTGATTGATATCCTTGTTCCTCCCTTCTCCACTGGAGTGCAATCTCAGAGGAAGCAAGGAACTTGTCTATCTTATGTATCTTTACCCGGTCTCTCCAGCACCTAGGACAGTGTCTGGCAGGTGATGGATGGTCAACCAGTCCTTTATTATGCATCTGAATAGACCACAAGTCCTTGTTGAAGTCCAAGCAATGGTCTGCAAAGCCGTCCTGACAGGTGGATTTCCAGAGATGGCTTCTGTGGGAGATTGACTTGAACACAGACACATTTTTGCTTAACAACGGAGACTTTTGTTAATCACATGCAGTTCCATACCTACTTGTTAGCAATTGGTGTGGACATGGCCTGAGAATTACAACAGCCACGCTATGGCCCGGAATGCCAGAAAAAGCCCAAGAAAATGGCCCTGACCAGGACAAAGACCATGCAAGGCCTTCTCTGCCCCAGACAGAGCAGAACTGAGAAAGTTCAGAGCAGGACCCGGCCCCAAACTCCCCTGGCCTCAAACCTGCTTACCCTTCAGAGAAGGGAGTGGGCCGAAGGTAGTCAGAGGGTAAGTGACAAAGGCTGATGGTGGTGCTCTCCTTGTGCCTCCAAGGAGAGTGGGGCAGACAAGAAGTTAAGCTGTCGTGGAAAGCACCTAGGAACATGAAAAACAGCAGCCTTGGCAGTCAGGAGGCCCAGCTCAGCCAGTGAGCACCCTGAGTAACTCCGGCTTCAGAGTTTGGAGCACTAACCGTTACACCATCAAACCACCAAACACTGTGTAACTCCGAACAGGGCTGCTGAGCTAATCAAGGGAGATGTGCAGGGCGAAGCGCACACCTCTGCAGCACGTCTCATGTCCAGGTTTGCAAGCAGTAGTCCCCGAGCTTTTCTTAGGGGACACTACCCAGTGAGCATTTGTAATACACTTAATATTCTTATTTGTAAAGTATATAAATGTACTTTCAAGTACCATTAATTTTAGTGACCCATCTTCTGGACATTTGCATTCTTCATATTATCCTTTTTTAAAAGATTTATTTATTGGGGCACCTGGGTGGCTCAGTCGGTTAAGCGGCTGGCTTCAGCTCCGGTTGTGATCTCAGGGTCCTGGGATCAAGCCCCTCCTCGGGCTCCCTGCTCAGCGGGGAGCCTGCTTCTCCCTCTCTTCCTAGCTTATGCTCTCTCTCTCACTATCTCTGTCAAATAAATAAATAATCTTTGAAAATTTTATTTATTTATTTATTTATTTTAAGTGGGGGAGGAGGGACAGAGGGAGAGAGAGAATCTTAAGCAGGCTCCACATTGAGCACAGAGCCCACACGGGGCTCAATCCCACCACCCTGAGATCATGACCTGAGCCAAAACCAGGAGTCGGACAGTCAACGGACCGAGCCACCCAGGCGCCCCCTTCATATTATCTTTGATCTGTGTTTTTTGCCCTTAGGATTTTTGTGAGGACTTTAGTCTAAGAAAAACTAAGAAGTAGTAGTTGTTGCCACTTATGCAGTCCCCACCCAGCCGCTTTTCTAAGTGTTTTGAAGGCATTCAATCCCTGCAGTCGCCCCATTAAACAGATGAAATGGAGGTGAGCAGAGAGCAGTCAAGAGCTCATGATGGTGGAACAGGGTTTGAACCGGAGCCACCTGGCGCAGAAAGCGTCAAAACGCACCAGGGATGGGTCAAAATCGTTATGAACCAGACGCTGAGCCCAGGCTCACCAGCAGCCCTCCACAGGGTACCCCTTCCCCTTTTATTTTATGCAAAGGGATACAGGGCTGACACAGAAGCTACGGAAGGGCGCCAAGGTCAAAAAGTTGCTATTTTTAAGATTAAAAAAAATTCAATTATTGCAGTTAAAATAGAGTTTGTGGTGTTTTCTTTCCCGGCCCCGCTTTGGCGGCCGCGGCTCGGAAGAGGTGGGAGAGTGAGAGTAGCACAGCATCTGGACCACCAGGGGGCGCCCCAAAACCACTGACCCCTATGGGCGCGGTGGAACTTGCCCGCAGCGCAGGCAACCTGAAAGCCCAGATGAGGATTTCTGCAGAGTTCACTTTTCACATGCTCATCAACCCTCAGGCTCACCCAATGTGACAAATGGGCCCGCCTTTCTTAGCCCCAGATCCTTCTCAGGGCTGAGCCCAGGACTGGGAGCTGGGCTGCGACACTCTGCTGATACCAGATGGGACAATGACCACGAAATCCTCATGGAGTCAGAGCCAGAAGGTACCACCTGGAGGTGCCGCCCTCCTCCTCTGCCTCCACATGTACGATGTCCTGAGACAGGTTTTTTACGACCTTCTTCCTGATTTTAGGGGGAAGCTCCATCAGTACATTCTGCCTAAACAGAAATGGATTTTGAAATTCGGTGCCTCTCGCTAGGCGAACTCTAACTCACTCACTCATGCACCATCCAAATGTTCCAGGGTTAACATGAATACATTCGGCTTTTGGACGGTGTTTGATCGCCCTCACCATGATGTTCCAAGACGGCGCTCTCGGACCAGGCAGGTGTGGGCTGTGGAAATGGTGAGGCAGAGCCCAAGGGAGAAGGAAGAGTTCACTCCCACAGGTCCAGGAACTATTGCCTACCCTAGGGAACCTACATCTTAAATTCAGTTCCACCAAGGGAAGGGCAATGCCTCACCCCACAGAATACCTGAGTCTGCAACATTAGGAGCCGGGGCTACGTGCTCATACAAATGGCAAAGACCACTCATTTGTTCAGCGCAAGCAAGAAGGATGTCTTGACCATGAGGAATATAGCAGGGAACAAACCAGATGGATGAGACCTGCTCCTGGGAGTTTCCTTTGTAGAGGTGGAAACAGATAAATAAGCAAGACAATGTCCTACAGAGCTGAGTGAAGTAATGAAACAAGGCAATGTGATAACAAGGCACTGGGGAAGTTGGTATCTTGATTGGGATATTGCTACACAGATGTATACAACTGTCAAAACTCTCCAAACGGTACACTTAAGATAAGCTAGGCTCATTTCATTGTATGTAGAATGTTATCTCAATGAAAAACTTTTAGTAAATAATGAAAAGAGTGATGGGAAGGAAGACATTAGTTAGAGTGATCAAGATGGCCTCTTTGCAGGGGGGGACATTTGAGCTGAGACTTGAACAATGAGAATGAGCTAGAATAAGTTTGTCATGCCAACATCTGGTGTCTCTTCCTGCCAAGATGCTGCAAGAAGAGGAGCCTGTGCATTCAAAGAGCCCAAGTAGAGAATGTGTTGAAGGCTGGGGGAGGCAGGTGTGAGCAAAGGAAGCAAAATGGCAGGTATGTGAGATGAGATTGAGGACAGCTGGTGATGAGGGCCTTGAAGATTGTGTAGGAGTTCATTCTAAGTGCAGTTGGAAGCCCCTGGCGGACCAGATAGGGGAAAGATAGAATTTCCCAACCCAGTTGGCCCTAGGCAGAGCATTAAAAAGGGCAGGAGAAAGCAGCCAAGTTGAGCAGCTACCTGAGGACCGGTGGTAAGCATGACCTGGGCAGCAGGTGGGCACCTGGAGTCCAAGCTGTCCAGGGAGGGCACTGTGGCCACAGGTGGAAGGCATAGCAGGGAATGGGCAGGACCTAGAAGAGTCAGGAAGAGCCAAGGTCACTTGGAGAACCCCAAGTCCTGGGGTGATCAACAAGTGGGCACCAGTATATGCTCCCAAAAAAGGCCAGGAACACAGCCAAAAGGTGAGTCAGAAGAAAAGGGATAAGGCCAAATGCCATCAGCGGGAAGGGCACTCCCCAACCACTGGCCTGAGCTCCATAAATACCCCTTTATAGGGGTACACAGGCCATCCTGGGGTCAAAGCCCAAGGAAGCCTACTGTTCCAGGAATCAGATGCCTGGTTGGTCCACACGGTGAGTCTGTAGGGCAAGGGGTTTCTGTAATGTGGGCAGGTGGCTGGAAACTCAGCAGTATGTCCCCCAAATGCCCTTAGTCACTCTTTCGGTCTGGCAGATACCTTTGTCTTGACAGCTGTGAGCTCTGAGGTGAATGAAGGAAACCAGCGCAAAGCTGCTCCTAAACGCCCAGTAGCGTGGACTCTTAGGGAAGGAAAAGCCAAGTTGAATATCTGAGACGGGACCATCTGCTGTCACGAGAGAATGGAGACAACCTGGCCCCAAGGTGAGACAAGTTAGAGCAAATCCCTTGGGCAGAGAGCGAGAAAACAGAGGGGCAAATTCAGCGTCATTAAGGCTGACTCAGAGGAGGGCTTTCCCCTCCCCGGGAAAGGCTGTCCGTTGAGAGATGAAAATGCCCTCTTTCTTGGCTCTTTGTGTCATAATGGGATCTTAATGGTTTCCAGTGTTCAATGAACGACAGGGGGAAAGAAACGAAGCTTCCCGAGATCACTCAGTGCTTTGGGAATTACCCGTAAATATGTGAAGGCCTTGAGATGGCTTACAAGAAGGAAGTAACCCCCAAGAAACGGGGTGTTAGGGGCTGGGGGGGGGCGCTGGGGTCAGCCTTGCCTTGGCCCCGTTTCACTCACCTTTGTTTTTCTTGCCTGGGTGATGTTCCATGCTTCCACTGTTACACATTCTCTTGTCTCCTAAACAGGGTCATCCAAGAACTGCAGGCACTCCTTTTTGTCTGACTTCACGTTTCCCAAACTACTTCCGGTTTTCCATAGCATGGGTAGGCTGGAAAATGGCCCCCAAAGATACCAGGAACCTGCCAGTTGTACCTTGTATGGAAAAGGGGTCTTCGCAAACGTGATTAACTTAAGGCTCTTGAGAAAGGGAAATTATCACGGATTATTCAGGTAGGCCATAAATAAATTTCTGGAGTGTCACCTGAGGCAGAGGAGAGAAGCCTTTCTTTTGGGGGGCATCCAGAAAATTGCAAGCTGAAGAAATGCGGAAGCAAGTTTACAAAAGTGTGGAATAGTTTAAATATTCACATCTAACAAACTGTTGCTGTTAACACACCCAGATGCACCAAAGTTCATACAGCAGACATTGTCCCTAACCACTCGCCCTTTCTGTGCACATACACCTGACCTCTAATGGCCAGCACTTGTGCTCCTTGGCCTGTGGACTTTTCTTTGGCCACCATGGCTTCCTCTGCCCGTGGACCCTGAAAGCCAGAGATACCAGGGAATTAATGCATCCCCCGGCCCCCAAGAGCAGCCCTCTCTCTCCCTACCGATGCCTGATGGAAGTTGGTGTGTAAGTAACCCGGCTCCCTCACCCCTCGGTGGGAGAACTCTGAGGTATGCTCTACCCTGGCTTTCAGAGGTCTCAGGTGGGATGGAGCTCCAGTTGCCCAGAGGTTAACTTAATTTGTATGCAAAGTATCTGTGTGTGTGTGCATGGGATACGTAAGGATCAGGATGTGATACCATCCTGTCTATGTCTCTTACCAACTAGCTGCTCTCACCAACATTCTGTCTTGGCATCTACTCTCAGATAGTGAAATTGATTTTGTGCTACATCTATAGACTTTAACGTACTTTCTCTACAAATTCTGAATAAGGAAAGTATTACACACTGTGAAACACATCTTTATCGCCAGGACATTAAGCTCTTTTATGTATTTCATTGAAACCAAATTATTATCTTTCAATATGGCTCCCAAGAAAGACAGTATTAAAGATCTTGACCTCCCGGGGGATGCATTTTTGGAGCATCTTCCTTTGGGGGGATAAAGCAGGTTAAGTCATGCCCACTCAGCAAGGCTCATTTACAATATCCTGTATGGATTCTTGTGGTCATTTTATCCTTTAAGTGGAGGCTCCTGGGATTTTGTTTTTTTCCCCTCACCGTGCCAAACGTCACACTGGCCTTGAAAAGCAACTTCATGACTATAAGGGCAGCTTAGAGTTAGTTTTATAAAGCCTAAAATCTGCATTATTTCATCTTAACTCAGGGTAAATTTCAGTGATTACATTGAGAAGAACATGGTGTATGATCCTCAGATGGATTTTCGGGTCCTAGCTCAAAAGCAGGATGAACTTCTAAAAAGTATTACTTCATCTTCTTTTTAAACTAGATCCTTAGGTGACGGGCAGGCACATGGAATTCAGGGTAAGGAGTGTTGGGGGGAGGGTCTGTGACGTTCCACATCAGGAAAATCAGAGCTGGTGCCACTCGTGGGCTATCTTAATAGTGCTTTCTCGTTTTTCAGTGTTTAGGGTTTAAAGTCAGAGTTATTAGGGTTTAGGGCTCTAGGTATGTGAGACAGAGTCACATCTAGGGCCAGGTAAGCCTCAGGGTAACCTCTTTCACAGTTCTCATGTTGCTTGGATTATTAGGATGAAGGCATAGCATCATTAGGGGGAAGAGTGTAATGTTAGGGTTGAGGTTGGGGTATATGAGGGTCTGCTCTAGTCTGCTTTCCAGAGTTGACAGTTCATGGTCAATAGTTTAAGGTAATCAGGAATTAGGGTTGTCAATGTCAGGGGCATCAGAGTCAACCATACATCAATCCTGTCATTTGGAACTCAGAGTCTTCAGGTTCAGCGTGAGTGGCCTCCCCGGGTCAGGGTTAAAGGCATTTAAAGGTATATAAACAGAACCCTGCTCTTTGGAGCATGGATGCTGAGTCACTGGGGTGTGGGGTAATCAGGGTCAGGACAGGCCATCAACAAAGCGGCTGCGTCATTGCCTCTTAAGGTTTTTAGATCGCTGCGTCATTAATGTCAAGTTCATTGAAGTTGTTAGCACTAATGTTGCTGAGAGTGGGAAAGTCAGGCTCATTAGATCTAATCTCCATTTAAACTATTTAAGGTCAATTTGGGTTTAAGATAATTTTGGATCAATTAGAATTGTTTAGAGAGTCTGGGATTTTAGGTGTAATTAGGGTCTCTTGGGTCTTTTAGGATCTTTTGGACTGTTGGGGTTTAGAATAATTTTTTAAAAGATTTTATTTATTTATTTGACGAGAGAGAGAGACAGTGAGAGAGGGAACACAAGCAGGCAGAGTGAGAGAGGGAGAAGCAGGCTTCCCACGGAGCAAGGAGCCCAATGCGGGGCTCGATGCCAGTACCCTGGGATCATGACCTGAGCCAAAGGCAGACGCTTAACGACTGAGCCACCCAGGCGCCCCTAGAATCATTTAAATGTGAATTTTTAAGGCATTTAGTGAGGTGCAAGGTTTAAGATCCTTTAGAGTCTGTTGTGATCCTTAGGGCCATTCAGAGTTATCCTAGTTAGTTTAGGGTCATGTGGGATAATTTGGGGCTTAGGGTTTTAAGCATCGTTTGAGAAACTATAGGGTGTATAGGGTTATTTAAGATTTAGGGTTTCATTTTGTTGAGGCTCTTTGAAGACATTTTAGAAAGTAGAGTAGTTTTACTTCTTTTAGGATCCTTTTGAGGCATTTAGGGTTATGTAACTTCTAGCCTTGCTATACAAAAGTGTGGCCTATGGATTAGCAGCACCCACATACCCTGGGAGTGTGACAATAAGGCAAGGTCTCCAGCCACCCCCCAGATTCGCTGAAACCAAATCAACATTTTAATAAGACACCCCACCACCACCACCACCAAGAGTCTCTCTGTTCTAAGATGGTTTAAAGTCATTTGGGACCATTTCCAATCATTAGAGCTTTTGGGGTTGTTAGACACCCTAGCCATGGAGCCATTGAAATGACCGGGTTCTTTAAAGCCCTTGGAATGAGGGTCATCTTTTTCATTTAGCATATTTTATGCATTTAGAGTCATCTAGGTTTCAAAAATATTGAAGGTCCTTTAGAGACTTCTAAGGTTCAGGTTTTTTGGGTTGCTTTGAGCTTTTAAAGGATGGTTTATATCATTTGGCATCATTTAAAGTGATTGAAGATCATTTAGGGCTTAAAGTTATTAGTAATTTATTTAAAGTTTTCAGTAATTTATGCCTCTTCGGGATCTTTAAGTGTTTGAAGTCTTGGGCCATTTCGAGTAGTTTAGGATATCAAAAGTTTCGGGAGCATTTGGAGTGATTTATGGCCCATTAGATAGTCTGGGATGTCTAAAGTCACTTTAGCGGGGATCACAAGGGTTACGATTGTTAAGGAACTTGGGCCAAGACCTTAAGCCTGTTATTAGCGTTGGCGTTCTTGGCACCTTAAGGTCTTTGTGTTCAGGGTACGTCTGGATACTGACACGTGCATTCCACAGATACTATCAAGATGCCCACCCAGGGTCAGGCACTACTCTAGGTGTTGGGGTTACCCTCATAAGGTTTCGCTTCTAGTGGAGGAGATTGAGACCTGAATCAAAAAGAAGCCAAGCATGTGATGAGCTGGAGAAGGAATGTTCCAGAAAGAGAGGGTGGTGAGTGCAAAAGCCCAAAAGCAGGCAAGGTCTTGGCACGTTTGAGGGGCAGCAAGGCCAGAGGGCACGAGGCACAATGACTATCAAGGAGGGTGGAAACAAGGGGGTCCCACGATTGGGTGGGATGAGACCATTTAGGTCTAGATGGGCTGGATAAGGTTTTGGCGTTCTTTTAAAGGCTTGAGGTCATTTAGGGTCACTGAATATCATGTGGGTTCTTTAGGTTTGGAGTTGGTTCCTTCAAGGTTTAGGGCCCTCTAGGGACTCCAGGAGCCATTAAGGATCATTTAGGCCATTAGGTCATTTTATGGTCCCTTAGGATCTTTGTTATATAGGATTTTTGAGATTCCTTTAGGATCATTTAGGGTTGATTAATAGCATTTAAGAATCTTAGAGTGATTTAGGATAATCTTAATTGCTTGTCGTGTGTAAATGTTTCACATGGAGTCATGTTTAATTGTTTAGGATTGTTTGGGTTCATTTGGAAGCTTTTAGGATTGTTTGAAGTGGTTCTCAAATTCAGGGCACACAGGGATGAGAGGGGGAAGTGGGGAGGAGGAGGAACAATATTAGAAGTCTTGCTGCCAGAACCACACTGTCAAAGAACTAAATCAGAATCCTTAAATCACTCCCCAGGTGATTGCAATGTCCAGTCAAGCTGAGAGCCAGCACTTTCTACTGGTTTCGGACAGAGCTCCTTCCGTGGACCAGCAGCCGCAGCAGCATGGGAGAACTTGTCAGAGATGCAAATTCTCAGCCCCACCACCATCTGCTGAATTAGGAGCTCCGGGGTGGAGCCCAGCAATCTGTTTTAAGAAGTTCCCCCAGGAGATTCTGATTTTAAAGTTCAAAACTCCTGGCATGGAGTGTACAAGAATCTTCAGGATCCTTGACATTTTTTAGGGTGGGGGAGTCTAAGGGCATTTTAGGATCATCTGATATCATTTGGGTCAGTTTAGGGCTCTTTACTGTTGGCTTAGTGTGTGTATCTTTGTAGGGTATGGGTGGACACCTGAGGTAATTATTTTTAAATTAGGTTTATTTGATAATTCCCTGAATCCAAAAGTAATCCTCATTGCCACCGTCCCTGGACCTCTCCTCCCCTACAGCCCTTGGAGAAGGTGAGCCCCTGCTCGGTGGGGGTGTAGGTCCTGAGCTCCTGGATCAGACCTCCTGATGCGCAAGTTAAGACGGAGGAACAGGGACTGTCCCGTGTGCCAGGGTGGAGCGAAGCATACATTTTCCAGAATCCTCCATACGAGGTCTTGGGTAGCCTCGTATCGGGCGCTGCCTCTGGTACCCAGTTCTTAATAAAGAGAACTTCGGAATGTCAGAAACGAAAGTACAACGGTCTGACGGCATATTCTGGATGACCTCAGGTCTCCAGAATTTATAATGGGGTGTTTTCCCTCCTTTTGAAAGCTATTGCTTTTCTAATTCCTGAAAGAAGCATTGAGAGTACGATTAGGAAGTGGGTTTCGTGTCCAGGGTGACTGAGCCGAAACACAAGGCATTCCCCAGTTTCTCACACAGAGATGCCATCTCTCCGGCTCCTACTGGTTTTCTCACAGGCCCTAGAACTACGGATATGAGCCTTCCTTTCTGGCGTGTGTGTGTGTCTGTCTGTCTCTCTGTGCACGGTCACATTAGTGTGCATGCATGCGATGTACATGACATGCACACACACAGGGACTGCATTTCAGTTGCGGGAGGGCCGTCCTAGGGGAACAAAGACTTAGAAATCTTGCACTTGGAGAAAACTGACCTTAGCAGGGGGATGAGAGCTTAGCTGGCTTTCATGTTCTGGCCACTGTTTGTGTTTTGTGTGTGCTTTTTGTACATAGACGTGCTTTTGGACCCTCAATATTTTTGGACCTACTAGCAGGAAATTTTAACCTAAATGCCAGTGTAATAGAAACACAAAAAAAGAAACATAATCCTACCCCTCCAAGGTAACTTTTTTCATTGGCTTTAAATAGAAGCCTGCCATCCTATTGAACATGCTATTTTATTCACTGTATGTAATAATATCTTCCCTGTTTCTACAAAAGCTTCGTAATTTTACCTTTAATGGCTGAATAATGTTCATGTTTATGGTTTCTATTTTATCTGCAGCATTATCACAGAAGGAAGGAAGAAAGGAAGAAAAAGTCCAACTTGGCTTTTTTTTTTTTAATTGAGGTATATTACTTGGCTTTTTATTGGGATTATTTAGATCAATTTAGGGAGAGCTGCTGTCTTTCCAATCCGTAAATGGGGTCTACCTTTCCATTTTTAAATTTTATTTTCTCATCTCTTATTGCTGATACACAGAAAGAAAATAAACTTGTATATATATTCACATTGTTTTGGCAACCTTGCAAAATTCATTTGGTACCTCTAAATAATTTCTAGATTATTATCACTATTTTAAATTCAGCTTTCCCATGTTGGTTTCTTTTAATGGGTCATGGACATTATGATTTGTTCTTTTCACTTAGATAACTCAAGAGCTTTTGGGCAAACTACTCAAATGTATTTTTGCGGCTTGTGTTATAGACAATATTTGGCTAAGGAAATTTAACAGTTTAAGTTGAACAATACGTCACATTTCTGTAGATATGTGCCTTACCTTCAGAATCTTCCCTTGGGATCATTTTGGACTCAAGGGTTTTCATAGCCCCAGACATTCAATATTTGCTATGCATGGGAGTTCTCGTCAGAAGTTTGTTCCTGAAATTATACCCCAGACATCTCTGAGACATAATTACTTTACAATAGCAAGACATACCCACTCTGTCCTGTGCCTTCTGCCCCAGTCTTTGGCACCAGCTTCTCCCCTGGGAGCCCAGATTTCTCTCCGTGGAAGATATTGTAAGAGACCCAAAATCTGGGTGCTGCCAACCCCTTAGATGGCTCTGCAGCTGTTGGCAGAGTGACATTCAAGCACGAGTTAATGCTAATATGTCCAGTTCAAAAACTCCTTTAGGAAAAAAGGATTTCACTGTAAACCAAGAACGTTTAAATCAGTGTTATCAAAATATTGATATGAGAATATCCACATTGCGGTGCCCGGGTAGCTCAGTCGGTTAAGCGTCCCACTCTTGATTTCAGCTCAGGGCATGATCTCAGGGTCCTGAGATCAAACTGTGTCGTCCCCCCTCCCCCATCTGCGCTCAGCAGGGAGTCTGCTGGGGATTCACCCTCTTCCTCTGCCCCTCCCCTGCTCCTCCTGCACTCTCTTTAAAAATAAATAAATAAATCTTTAAAAATAAAGTATCCATATTATATTTTGCCTTTCACCAAAACATGTGTTTAGATTTCAGTTCTATCATAAAATTTAAATTTAAGTTCCAACTTATGGTTTCATCTTGAAAACCTCACGCTTTATAATTACGGTGAGATGTTTTTCTAGCCAATGTGCAGAGTGACCATATTAATCATCCACGCTGGGACATTTTGAGAGAACTAGGGGCTGCTTTTGATAATTACAATGGAATGACAGGTATAAACTGAAACTGTCCTGAGCAAACCAGAACTTACAGTCCCTCCCAATGTGCCCATGGTTTTAAAGCTTCTAAATTTAACTGAAGTATATATTTAAATGATAAGTAATCATTTTTTTTAAAGTAGGCTTCATGCCCAGCGTGGAGCCCAACATGGGGCTCACATTCACGACCCTGGGATCGAGACCTAAGCTGAGATCAAGAGTTAGAAGCTTAACCGACTGAGCCACCCAGCCGCCCCTTAAATCATAAGGAATCATTTTTATTTTGTGTAGTTTTAAAATGAAAAGAGCAATGTCGATTTTACCCAAGTTCAATTTTCTCAGCAAAACCTATTCAAATGTATTCAAAACTTCACAGCTCGGTCTTGTGCTCACAGCAAACTCCATTCAGTACTAGCCTCATTACCTAAAATAGACAAAACCAGATTATTTCATAAAATCTGTTTCCATAAAGAAAGCCAAGAACTGCTGGCTCCTTGGGGAGAAGGTTATTAGTATTTGCTGGATAATTTTCAGCACTCTAACTTCTGTAAGGCTTACTGCCTGATTTGGGGTGTTGGTGGGACCCCAGACAGACTGTTATCTTTTGTCTTTGTCACCTACGTACACTGTCTGAACAGTACAAAAACCTCACTGCCTTGGAAGTGTTTTTAACTGTCTGCTCATCTGTTTCACTCAGCTTAGTTAATTCAGCAACTAAAAAGCTACTGCTAGAAGTGAAAATTCTAAATATAAAAAATCGAAACAACACTTAAGGGGAGCATTGATTCATCCAAGTCTTTTTCTCTCTTTTTTGATTTTTTTACAAGATTTTATTTATTTCAGAGAGAGAGAGCATGAATGGAGGAGGGGCAGAGGGAGAGTGGGAGAGAAAATCCCAAGCAGACTCCCCACTGAGCATGGAGCCCAGTGCGGGGCTCAACATGGGGGTTGTTGATCCCAGGACACTGAGATCATGACTTGAGCTGAAATCAAGAGTTGGACGCTTAACCCATTGAGCCACCCAGGCGTCCCTCTCTCTCTCTTTTAAAAGAAACATATAGGGGCGCCTGGGTGGCTCAGTCGGTTAAACGTCTGCCTTCAGCTCAGGTCATGATCTCAGGATCCTGGGATCAAGCCCCACGGTCGGGCTCCCTGCTCAGCAGGGGGCCTGCTTCCCCCTCTCCCTCTGCCCCTCCCCCCTGCTCATGCTCTCGCTGCCTCTCTCTGTCTCTCTCAAATGAATAAAAAAAACTTTAAAAAAATTTTTTTAAAATAAAAGAAACATATAAGTATCATCTGGGGACATTGATAAAAATCTTTTCTCAGTTGTTAGCTTTTTTTAGAGGCCAAATTATGTTGGTCACTATTTATGCTTTTAGGAAGATAATTATCAATCACATATTCAAATGTTGTGAACCAACCACATAACCCCTCTGTGCTAGAGTTCTCCAGAAAAACGGAACCAACAGAACACGTATACATAGAGATTTATTTTAAGGAATTGGCTCATGCAACTGGGGAGTAGCAAGTCCAAAATCTGCAGGGTGGGCTGGCAGTCTGGAGACCCAGGGAAGAAGCCAGTGTTGCAGCTCAAGTCCAAAGGCAATCTGGAAGCAGAATTCTCTCTCCCTCAGGGGAGGTACTATTTTTCTTTTAAGGCCTTCAACTGATTGGATGAGGCCCACCCACATTATGGAAGGCGATCTGCTTTATTCAAAGTCTACTGATGTAAATGTTAATCTCATCTAAAAAAACACCTTCAGAACAACATCTAGACTAGTGTTTGGCCAAATATCTGGGCACCATGGCCTAGCCAAGTTGACACAGAATCAACCATCACATTGGCCCCACACCATAGGGTGGTACTTGGGCCCTCATCTGGGGTCTTACATTTGGCAACCCCCTGGGAGCTGTCTCCAACAGAGGCAAGCCCAGGTCCCCATACCCCTACAGGGTGGCTCAGCCATTTTAGAGATGGGGAAACCAAGTCCTAGCAAAAGGTTTCACGAATTGGCCTCAGGATCAAAACAGGCCTGGGGTAGAGTCAGGACGAAATCCAGCCTCAACAAATGGTAGTTCCCAGCTCTTTCCACTACAACATTTGGCTCCAGCGGGACCTGAACTCGAGACTCCTAGGGGACGTTCTCCTTTCACTTCCTATTTGAAATATTACAGCCAAGCCTGAGCCCATTCAAACCATAAACTATTAGGGAAGAAAATCACCTTATTTCCTGGATGTGCCTTCGCCTTCCCATCCCCAGCCCTCCCACGAGGCAGGGCTCCCCGCCCAGCGCACCACACACGGACCCAACCACAGAAGGACTTCTCTTTGAAAAGTGCTTTATTTCAACACGATCTAAGTTGGGTGCATTAAAACATATCAAAATGTTACAGACATTTATGGCTCCCTCCTGAGGCCTTGTCAAATTATGTTATGATACCCAGATGTGTCCGTTTACAAGTTCAGAACCAAACATTGAACCAGGTCATGTACCATTGTTGAAGGCAAGTTATGATGAAGAAAATAATACTTCACAAAGCTAACACAAGTGGGGAAAACCTGAAGAAACACTAGCAGTAGCACACCAGAAGTCATCAGCCTGGGAAGCAGGGAAGGCTCCAAGGGCAAACTGAGGCTTTCCCTTCCCAGCTTGTCCACATCTTGTGCTTGGTTCAAACACAGGGGGCGCTGTAACCTCCCGTGGCAGGGTAAACGCTTTCAGTTCTGCCTGAAAGAAGGGGGTGCCACATTCATCTGTATCTCTGCCTCTCTCTCAGAGATCATTTCTCATCTCACCTGACTCAAGCAAGACTTTGTGTCAAACAACTTAAGTAGCAACTCAAAAATGTGTGCTGCGGCCTCAAGGATGCTGGAGACCTCCCCTGCTTGCTATCTCAGCCCCCACATCACGGTTTGGCCCCGAGACCCTGAAATTTCCTCGCTTATAGAAAATTTCTCTCTTGGCGATATATCTATGACATCATATTCTCCATGCTATGGAGCTTGGCGGGTTTTGTTTTGTTTTGTTTTGTTTTGTTTTTTGGTGGGGGTGGGGGGAAGAGAGCTTTTCTTAAGAGAGTTTCTTGCCCTACTGGGACCCATCGCTCCTCTTTGCTCCTGACTCTGAAATAACCACCCAACCCTGCAGAAAAGAATCTGTGCCAAGATGTTTTGCATCAGAAAACAGATTTGTGTGTGTGTCGTTTTATTTCAAAGTCTTACCTACAATGGTGTTAAGATGCCTTTATCTGTCTCCAGGAGAAAGTATTGTTTTCTTTCTGGTAGGGAGGAGGGAAGGGTGCAAATATTTCTCCTTGAAGTCTCAGACCAAAACCTCAGCTTTTGGTCCCAGCGTTTTTCTCACAGGTGGGTGGCTAATCTGAGCTCCTCCCTTCCTCAACCTCACTTAGAATTCAAGTCCATCGGCCTAGAGCCCAGTGCACACATTCCTCACCAGCCCACATAGGCAAGCTTGCTGTTTGTGCTTCTCAGTCCCTCCCCAAGATACCCCCCCCATTTAACTCATCACCTGCCCACTCATGTGATCACTGAAAATGTGACCTTGTGCTTAATTCCACCATCACCTGGGGGAACGGACCCCCTTCCCAGCCATATGGACTCAGGTTTTTCCTTCATTTGATCACCTTGTAACAAAAGCCCCTAGAAAAAGAAAGTCAGATGTGGCTATCCTGCTTTTCACAAGTTAGGAAAAAAAACCTATAAATTGGCCTTTTGTTCTTCACACGATTTCAGGTTCATTGCACGCAATTACAAAAACCCACACAAATCAGTAGAGGAATTCAAAGCTGCAAAGCCATGTGATACCAGTGAGAAAATCCGGCTCCACACTGCAGAGAAGTGTCTCTGTTTCAGGCGCTGTTATTTCAAAGGACCTTTCCAAAATTCCTGATCGGGCTACTAGGACGTGAGAGACGATCTCTAAACAGGGTGGGCCAAAATGGAAAAGTAGGGCCCACGGTAAGTGGGATGCATCCTGTAAGATGTGATTTCCCCTGACTTCTACCCTGACCGCCCCCCCACAATCTTTAAGAAGCCAGGTCTACCTTAGTATCACTTTCTCAGAAAGGAAGCTGGCAAACCTAACGTCTTGCAACATTTCCATATTTAAACTATCGTAATGCTAGTGCAAATCAAAGAGAACTTTTATAAATGAGAAATCGCTGTCCAACAAGTTAGTGGTTAGTAATTTGCTCTGTGGAAATTTTTCTGCCTAGCCCACCAGGGAGAATGACTGGGGTCAACACAGGCTTTGAACATTCAAAATAAAAGCAACTGGAAGAGAAGTTTCTTAAGTCATCTCAAATGCAAAACTCAGGAAGTGTGTTTGCATTCACAAACCCGCTCTTTCCCATCTGTAACAAAGGAAGCCTCTCCCCCCTGCCCCCGGCTTTTCTGTGCATTTTGCAGCGGCCCACCGAGGTGTATGATTGAGACTAAAGCCTCCGGATTTCCAGTCCACGCCCCATAGGGCTGGTGGCACTGTCCCCGCAGAGGAGGTCGCCTTGCTAAGAGACCCCCGGCAAAATGCCAGGTGGCAAAACGCCATCTTTGTGAAAGTCAACAATAAGACCACAGCTGCGAGCCCTCTAAAGAGGCCACGGAAGCCACAGAGGGGAACAGGAGGCAGGAGGGGGCAGGAACGGCTTCACTGCAAACATCCATCTTCCTTGCGGACACCGGCCAATGGCCCTCCTTCCACCAACTGCCCAGCTCCCCAAACCTTTCTTGGAGAGGAGGTGAAGAGATGGGGAGACCCTCCCTCATCAAGGCTGAGACACCTGCTGTTAGGAGCTCCGGGCCCTCAGCCGGCTCCCTGAGGCCCCGGGAGAAGCCCAACCAGCCTCTCCTGCCTACCTGCCATGCACCCTGCTCCAAGCATCTGTCCTTCTTCAAACTGTTATCAGCCACACTGGTGCCCAGCTACCCAGCGGTCTTCCTGACAGGAGCCACAGGGGACAGACTGTCCCACCCTTTCCCCCCACTGGGATCTGTTCTAAAGATCACCCAGGTGGCTGCTCAGAGAAGCTGAAAGAGAAGCTCCACCCTCCCTATGCACCTTCACAGGGAAGCCCAAAGAGCTTCCCTGAGCCCCACACTCGGCCAGTAGAAGGGTCATCCTCATAATTGGGGTCCATCTCCGTGCATGAGCGAAGGGCAACTTGAAAGAATCCTGTGGTTGGAAAGGAGAAAGCCTTGACCTCAAACACATGGCCTCAGCTCCAAGTGCAGGAGGGGCCTTGATGATGGGAAATGGGCTGGCCTCCCAGGCATCTGTCACTTCTGCAAGGAGCTTCTGTGGTTCTCTAAAGAGGGAAACTCTGGCCACCACCCCAGGACAAGGCCAGGCCCAGGCCACACTAGCCAGTCGGCCATGTATAAACCCATGACACCCTTCCTTCAACTCAAGGAGGCACCAAAGAGTTGGGGCTGGCTTCCATGGCGTGGGGTTGGCATGCTGAGTGAAACATCAGGCTCCTCTCCTGTCTCCTAGACATGGCCATGGAGGTGAGGACAGAGGCAGAATCCACATAGATCACATACGTCTTTGTTATTTTAAACAATCAGAGTTTCCAGTGTAAAAACTTGTGGGCTTATTGCATCTACCCCACAGATGATTTATCTTTCTCTTTCCATCCAACCTTCCCCAAGGGCATGGGGCTGTTAGTTTGTTAATTTCCAATGCCCAGTCCTTCTAGATGTACAGGGAGAATCCCCACCGATATATAAATACCCCAAATGGAGAGCTCGTGGAGTCCCCTTCCCTTCCAAACATGTGTGGCTGTTCCCTGGCCCTTGAGGGAAGACATCAACTTCAACCCCTCAGATCGGTGACTCCTCTGATGTTCCTGCCCTCGAGCAGTGCACCTGCAAGCCCCCATGGCGCTGGTGCTGGTGGCTCGGAATTCAGTTCCATGTGAATATCAGGTAGGCACGTGGATATGTACCATGTGTGCAAACACGCTTACATGTGCATGCGTGTGCTCATGTGCGTGCACACACACACATTTTGGGTCCTTATAACAAAATTCAGAAGTCCTTGTGAGGGAAAGAAAGGAGTGGAGCGTGGGGATCCAGGGATGGGGAGTTGTCTGCAGGCTTCTCCATTCTGCTCCGGGCAACAGATGGTGGCTCTCGGCGGGAGCTGGAGAGGTCTGTATCTACATGTTTCCATGGAAGGAAGGTACCCAGCTTCCTGTGCGTCTTCTCGTGTCAGCGGCGGCCCCTGTGGTGTCTGGATCCCCTCCTCCGTGTGGCTCAGATTGTTGCTGGGGTCTCGGCCATCTCCTCCAGCCTCTGCCGGATCATTAGCCGGAGCACGGTGTACCTGGGGACAGGAAGAGCCATGATGGGCAGCAGAAAACAACACACGCCTCCTCTTGATCTTCCCCCACCGCCCGGGGCCCAGGCGCCACCTATCGGTGCCTTCGCTTCTAACACTGGCCCAGCCGTCAGCCGCCTTGTGGCTCGTGTTCGTTTCCACACCCGGATGAGAGGTACTGAGCAGACCCAATCCAAACTAGAGGATTTGACGACCGTTAGAAACTCTGGCCAAAGAAGGACCGGAGGGCGAAACAGACAGCACCACCCGGAAGGATTGCATGAACCGAGCGCTTACTATGCCCAAGGCACCGCGACACAGTAAGTAGCACGGGGTCCTCACCGGGGCTGGACCATCTGAAATTGCCGTTCTTTGACCATCGTGAGGGGCCTACAAAAATGGCAGCTTCATATGGTTCAAGCTAATATCAGTCCCTGCGTGTTGCAGAACAGACCACAGCGACTACCAAGCGTGGGGGTGCACGGCTTGACGAGCACCTGTCTCCACCCCTTCCCTGAACTGAGCCAGCGCAGAAGCTGCAGTGCGAACCTCTGTGCGGGGCTCAGGGGGCCACTCCTGATGGCCAGGGCTTTGCACCGCCTGGCACAAGCTCTCTTTAAAGTTTGGCGCGTTGCAAGTGTTCAGTAAATGTCAACTGCTTTCATACTAGTGATCACCATTGCCAAAGCAAATGGAGCATCGGCGCTATTCCCCGGGGGCAGAAATCAATCAATCGTTTGGCTGTATCCCGGAAAAGCAGTCCACTTTATGACTAAACACGGCAACAACAACAACAAAAATCATAAAATTCTCCCCAGCGAAATAGGGTGAAATAGGTGAAGGGGATTAGGAGGTACAAACTTCCAGTTGTAAAATAAAAAGTCACAGGGATGAAAAGTGGAGCGTCAGGAATAGAGTCAGTAAACTGTAATAACATTGGATGGTGACAGATGGGGACTACGCTTATCATGGTGAGCACTGAATAATGTATAGAATTGTTGGATCGCTGTGCCAGACGCCTGAAACAAATATAATACTGTATGTCAACTACACTTCAATCATAAGTTAAAAAAAAAAAATCCTCGCCAGAGAGAGGCTTTACTGGACGTTTCAAGCCAAGTGTAATTTCCAGAAGAGAAATGTCAAAGAAGGGAGAAGGGTAGGAGGAAAGGATTTCAGAGGTAGGTTGCTTAGACTACTTTCCACTGCTAAGACAACCTTCCTGAAATCCCCTGAACATTTTTATGTCCCACATCAAAATGAGAAGCTGACACAGGAAGCAAAGAGACCAACACACTTAAGCTTTGCGTCCCCATCCACATTTGTCACGGGAAGCCCCCGGAAGAAGGTCCACGGCACCCAGGCCCACACAGCCGCTCAGCATCGTCCCTGCGAGACACCCGAACAGACAGCCGGCTCCCTGAGGCCCCGGGATAAGCCCAACCAGCCGCCCTGGGGGCACGCGTACTTGCGCATCAGCTTCTTGACTTCCCGATCTTCTTCCTCTTGGAGCTTCTGGATGAAGCTTTTTAGGACGGGCATCTCAAACTTTATGTACTGGGCCACCTGGGGAGGAAGAAGTCAGTCTGGGGTGCATGCACGCCCCCTTCCCAACCATATTCCAATTCCCTTTGGTGTCTCTCTCATGTAAGGCACAAAGGCACGGGAAACCTATTTCTGCACTGATCCAGGATTTCTTTAAAAGCAATAGCCAAGCCTCATTCTTCTCGAGGCTGCCATAGAGTTTGCGGTGAAGATCACTCCCTATCTGTGACACATATCTCAGAACTTCTCATCTCTCGTCCCATGTATCCAGTGCACAACCAGGTGATTATCAAACATGGAAAAGCACTCTCTCGGTGCAGTGATGCAGAGAACACCTGAACCCACAATATTCAATAAACCTCTCTGTTCTCCCCTAAGCGGACTTAGGGAACCATGGCTCAGGACGATGACTTGCATCTGGAGTCTCAAGCGGGCATCCAAATGAGAACTTGCTCCGGAGAGGCTGTGTGGGGTGAGGGTGGTGGCCCCCAGGTGAACTGAAGTTCAACAGCCGTCCCCCCTCCTCCACAAGAATCCCCACCCTACTCAATCAACTCTTTTCCATGGGAAAAGCCTATTAAGACCGAGCTGCTATTATATTTATGACTTGCTTTGGTCAATGGAATGTGTGTGGACACGATATAAGGTACATTTGAGTGCAGGCTTCCAATGAGCTTACGAGGTTTGGCCTAGCATCTTGCACTCCCGGGATCTGCCATGGGACGTGTACCCCAGGGAGCCACTACCCCTCACGCCTGGGTCTCTGTATGAGACATGCAATGCACACCTGCACTCAACCCCCAACCTGGAGCAGAGCTGTGACTACCAGCCTGCAGCCTCCTGAGCAAGTGAACGTTTGCTGTTGCAAGCAGCTAGGATTTGGAGATGTTTGTTACTGTAAGCAAAAGCTGACTAACACGTAAGATAAGGTAAAATCACTGCAAACAGCTTGAAGTTGCTAAGAGAGGTCTGCAGAAACTTCTCAGCCCATACAGTACTCTAGAAAGGCTGAAGACATTTACTCTATGTAAACCACTTTGTGCCTGAGCATTCCCCCCAACAAATCCCCCAGAGGGTACCCTCTGCCTAGCCTCTGCGCTCATTCTCCCTGCCTCATGACCATTCCTGCTTCAAGAAAACCTGGTATTAAAAAAAAAAAAAATTAAGAAAAACATAAAAAATATTTAAATCTTTTATTAAAAATAAAATAAATAAAATTTAAAAATAAAA